AGCTTTCAATTCCATTCTTCCACTAAGCTTTTTTTAAAGATTTTATTTATTTGAAAGAGAGTTACAGAGAGAGGTAGAGAGAGAGAGAGAAAGAGGTCTCCATCTGTTGGTTCACTCCCCAGATGGCCACAACGGCCGGAGCTGTGCCGATCCGAAGCCAGGAGTCAGGAGCTTCTTCCGGGTCTCCCACGTGGGTGTAGGGCCCAAGCACTTGGGCCATCTTCTACTGCTTTCCCAGGCCACAGCAGAGAGCTGGATCAGAAGTGGAGCAGCCGGGTCTCGAACCGGCACCCATATGGGATGCCGGTGCTTCAGGCCAGGGCTTTAACCCACTGTGCCACAGCACCAGCCCCCCACAAAGCTTTGAAATACCTCACATACTTGTTTTAGTTTTTATCAAAATTGTACACTATAACATGTCTAAAAATTGTAGACCAGAACATGTTTAATAAACCTGAAGTATAAATATAGAGTGTGTGGTGTGACAGAATGCCGCGGCCCCTGCTGGAGCACTGGGTGTGAGTCCTGGCCACACTTCTGACCCCAGCTCCCTGGGAGGCAGCAGGTGACGGCCCAGCTGCACAGGTCCCTGCCACTCCAATGGGAGACCCAGACGGAGTTGCCTGCTCCTGGCTTTGGCCTGGCCTGGCCTTGGCCGTTGTGGGCGTCTGGGGAGTGAACCAGTGGATGGGAGATGTCTCTCTCAGATAGAAAGGAGATAAACATTTAAATACACGTGTAAGTAAACAACATCAAAACAATTCTGAAGCACCACCCAGGACACGGAAACATTCTAGAAGCCCCCACTGACGCCCCCAAATTCTGAGCCCTGAACTCGCAGCGGCTGCACAGTGTTCTCTGTACAACCTCTGCGGCGCAAGGGGACCGGGGCAGGGCGCCCGGCCTCCCCACGCCGTCTCCACAGCTGTCCCCGCGGATGGGAGCACCCACATGTCACCTCCCAGGACTGCAGCCACAAACTCAGGGTGAGTCCACAAGTTTATTGAGGCCTCCTGGGACCGAGGCCCTGCAGGAACAGATGAACACGCCGGGTCCCAGAAGCCCACAGTTTGGGAACCGGTCACAACGACACCAGCACAGCCACTGAGAGCTCGCGGCGGGGAGCCGGAAGGATGCAGAGTCCGACGGGCCAGGGCGCTCACTGCAGGCCGGCCCACTGCAGGGAGGTGTAGACCACCTTGCCGCCGGGCTGCGGGGAGCAGAGCAGCACGGTCTTCCTCACGCTGGTGCCCAGGCGGCCGGCAGAGACCAGGTCCTGCAGGGGGATGGGGTCGTCGGGGGCCCAGCACTGGGCGATGTAGTGCGCGTGGAAACGGAGCGGGTCGCCTGAGGGAGAGAGGCAGGTAGGCGCCGGGCAGCGACACGGCCCCGGCTGCCGTACTTGCACAGGGGGGCGATCGCTCTTATCCTTCCTCGTCGCTATCCGACGCAAACAACCAAATGTGGAGTGGACGGCCTCCCAGCCCCACCCGGGAACCGCCGGTGACGCTGCCGTGGTCTGACCAGGACGTGGCCCCCCAAACTCACGCAGAACCCCAAAGCCCCGGGGCTAATGTGGACCGATGGGGTGCGGCGGAGCCTGCTCCGGCTCCGGTATTTGGAGGCGGGGCTTCGGGCAGCCCCGGGACGGCACCGCGCTGGCACTGTCGGCAGAGCCCCTGGTGGGCGCGTCTCTGCCGCTCGGCTCCCGGTGCCGGTGCCTACATCAACCTCTGACAGCTATTGCTTTGTTTTCTGACTGCTAACTTAGTAATAATCTCTTTGGCTGTTTTCCAACTTTTCTAAAGATATAGTCATTTATTTGAAAGATTTACAGAGAGGGAGAGACAGAGAGGTGTTTCATCCTCTGGTTCACTCCCCAAGTGGCTGGGCCAGGCCAAAGCCAGAACCTAGGAGCTTCCTCCAGGTCTCCCACGTGGGTGCAGGGGCTCAAGCACTTGGCCATCTTCCCCTGCTTTCCCAGGTGCATTAGCAGGGAGCTGGATCGGAAGTGGAGCAGCCGGGACTCGAACCAGCACCCACATGGGAGGCCGGCACCACAGGCGGTGGCTTTACCCACGAGGCCGCGTTGCTGGCCCTGTGTCTCCCGATCTCTAAATGCTGCGGATGATCCTGCAGGGGGCACTCCTGTGCAGCTGTCTACAGATTTCCAAGTGAGCCTTGGGGGTCACAGGAAACATCTCATGAAAGCTACCAAACCACCTCCTAAGTGAACTTGGGGGCTCCCCAGTGGTTCCTGTCCTTCCAAGAGTTTCAAAAGTCGGAAAAATGTGAGGCAAACAGAAATCCCAGCGTCCCGGTTGCAGTCCCGGCTACTCTGTTCGGACCCAGCTCCCTGCTGATGCGCCTGGGGAGGCAGTGGAAGATGGCCCAGTCCCTGGATCCCTGCCACCCACGTGGGAGGCCCGGGTACCCCATGGAGTTCCTGGCCCGGCCCAGCCCTGGCACTTGCAGCCATGCGGGGAATGAACCAATGGATGCATGACCCCTCTATTGCTCTGTCTTTAGAAGAAACCAAAAAAAAAAAAAAAAGGAAAAAGGCCGACTACGCCGGGACCCGGTGCAGCGGCCGGGGCCCAGCCCAGACTCACCTGGGTAGACCAGGAAGTCGCCGCCGAACTTGCCCGCGGCGCTGAGGAAGAAGCCGCGCTCCCACAGGTCCCTGTAGATGCTGTAGCGCAGCTCGTGGGCAGGCCGGCCGGCGTGCGGCCAGTCCTCGGACTGCACGCGCCAGTCCAGCGGCCTGGCCTTGACCGGTCGCGGCCTGGCGGTGGCCAGCTGGACGAGCAGAGCGGACCTGGGCAAGGGGGCCGCCCCACCGGAAGGCCCTGGCTGGGAAGACGAGGGGGCTGGGGCAGGGGGGTGAGGTTAGGCTCGGTCGCCGGCCCCCACGCTGCACTCCCCGGGGTCAGGCCCGCGCTCACCTGCCTCCTCCTGCTCCCCGGAAGCCTGGCCCTCCTGGGCCTGCCCTGCGGCCGCCTCCCGCGCCCCGCCGGCCCCCGCCTCCTGCTCCAGCTTCTGCTTCTTGGCGGCCTGGCCCTCCGCGATCTTCTCCAGCAGCTCCTGACGCCGGGCCTCCCGGGCCTCCACGGCCAAGGCGCTCTGCTCCTGGAAGCTCTGCTCTTGTTGGCGCTTGAAGGATGCCAGAGCCTGCGGGGCGGACTCAGCTGCAGCCCCGCGCCCAGCGTGCAGCCCGACCCCGAGGTCCCGGGCTCAGACCCCTTACCAGGCCGTGCTGGCGCGGATCCGGGCGCGGGGCGCTGACCAGGGTCACGGCGCCGATCTCGGCCAGCAGCCGCGCCTCTTCGGGCATCAGCAGCAGCGGGAGGCCCAGGCGCGAGTTCTGGCGGGGCCCGCGGGGCAGGGCGCCCACCGTGCGGCCCCCCACGCCCAGGCGCTCGCGCAGCGCCTGCACCGCCTCGGCCCCCCACACCAGGGAGCGCCCGTTCGCCACCTCCACCACCAGCATCCTCCTGCGGGAGCCGAAGGCGAGGCGGTCACTCAAACCGCGCGGCGCCGCCGGCCGCCCGGGGGTCGCGCCGGAGCCCCGCCCCGGCCCCGGAGCCGCCCGCGGGCCTCGGAGGGGCGGGACCTCGCCCTGGCCGCGGCACAGCCTCCGCACCCGGCGGTCGGCGCCTCGCTCGGCGCCGCCACCGCAGGACCCGCCGCCGTGCCTTCGCGCCTCAGACAGAAACCGACGCAGGCGCGGCGCCACGCCCCCTCCGGGGCGGCCACCTTTGGCACCGCCTCCTGCCCGTCAGAGCGCCGCCGAGGCCACGCCCCCTCCCGGAAGCCCGAGCTCGGCCACTCCCCTGGAGCCGCCGGGGTTCGGCTCTCCGTGCTCGAAGCCCCGCCCCCTCCCGAGCGCAGGGCGCTCAGCGTTCGGGAGTTCTCGGGACCTGTCAATCCTGCAGCCTGGGCCCGCCCCCCGCCAGGCTGCCGGGTCGGGGAGTGCCCGCCCCACGACCGAACCCCTAAGCCAGAGGCCCCGCCCCCGCGCACCCGCCGTCCCTCGCGCGGGCGGGGTCAGCTCACTTGCGAGCTGTCCGTCCGCGTCCTTGCTTCCCCTCAGAGTGTCCCGCCGTCCTCCGGTAGAAAGCAGCTGGTCTCCTGGTAAACACCAAGTCCCGACCGAGGTGGAGCCGCCCCCTACGCAGCGCGCCTCGCGCGGCTTCCTCCGCCCACCCATGGCGACCCCCCGCGTCAGACTCGTCATTCCGCCACCTCAGCGAGGCGGGAGGCTGGGACCGCCCCGCCCCCGGACCCCTCGGCCCCGCCCAGCCGCAGCCCTCCGGCTCCCCGGTTCTACCCCGTTCCTGCCCCCGGCGCACGCGGCCCTCAGAGCGCCGCCCCCTCGGGGGTCGCTTTCTCCCCGCCCCCCGTGAAAACGAGGTTGGACGCTCAGTCGCAAACGCGGGGCACTTGCACCCGACTTCCTCCGAAGGGAGCCGAAGCTCGTGGCCCCGCCCACATCCGGCCGAGCTGGGGACCCCGCCCACATCCGAACCCCGATTAGCGCACTCGGCTACCTCCGAAGTAAGCCGAAGCTCGTGACCCCGCCCACATCCGAACAGCGATTGGCGCACTCGGCTGCCGCCGAAGTAAGCTGAAGCTTGTGGCCCCACCTCGAAGCGGTGAGCTCAAACCTCCGTCGCGGACCGAGGGAACCCGAAGCGAGGCTCCGCCTCCTTCCGAGCGCCGAGCTCCAGACCCCGCCTCCTTCCCGGGCCCGTCCCCTCCTCCCGCGGAGCCCGAAGCCCCGCCCCCTCACGTACTCGCGGCCCGCGGGCCGCGCTCGGCAGATGCGGACCCGGGTGCCCCGCGGACTCGTGCTGCGCGTGTCTGCCTAGCCCTGTCCCCGGCGGTGGCGGTGCCTCCGGCTCCACGCAGCGCAGCCCGGCGGGCCCCTCGAAAGCGCAGGCGGCGCGGGGGCGTGCTGGGCGGGGGAGGCGTGGCCCGAGCCGCGCAGGCTGCGGGCTGGGACCGCTCGGCCGCTTCCTACCCGGAGGGCGGCTCAGGTGGGCCGAGTGGAGCCGGCGCCGAGACCGGGCCGTGCGGTGTAGGGGTGGCTGCGGTGCGGGGAGGGCGCGGGCAGCGCGGCCGAGCTCGCGTGGCGTAACCGCCTGTGGCTTGGCCGGGGACGGGATCGGGCCCGCCCTGGGGCGGCGGAGGGCGCCCTAGACACCCGGGCCTGGGTCCGCCCCCGGGGCCTGGATGGGAGAGGGGCCGCAGCTCGGAGAGAGGCGGCGGCTGCAGGCCGGGGCTCCCGCGGGCGCCCTCCTGGGAGGGGGTCTCGGATACCTGGGTTCTCGGAGGGGCTGGGGTCGGAGGAGGGGGCTGGTCCCCGGGGCGTCTGAGGAGAGGCCCGGGTGGGGGCAGCTGTTCCTGGTGTCTTGCTGTCTGGGTCCCGGGGCGGCGAGGGGCTGGCGCCCTGGGTTGCCGAAGGAGGGGAGGGGGTGCTGGATGCCTCTGTCGAATGAGGAGGGGGGCTGCAGGCCCGGAGTCCTGGGCTCTCCCAGGACTGGAGCTGCTTCTCGGGCTCCGGAGTCTTCCCAGGAGGAGGGGTAGCGGGGCGCACTCCTGGGGTCGCCCTAGGGACGCCCGGCTGTCCCTTCCCAGACCATGTCGCCGGAGGAGTGGACGTATCTGGTGGTTCTTCTTATCTCCATCCCCATCGGCTTCCTCTTTAAGAAAGCTGGTGAGTCAGGTTCCCGTCCAGTGGGCAGGCCGGGGAGGGGCGCCCCCGGGAGGGGCCCGGCTCAGCTGTGCTGTCGCTTCTCCCACAGGCCCTGGAGTGAAGCGATGGGGGGCGGCCGCCGTGGGCCTGGGGCTCACCCTGTTCACCTGCGGCGCCCACACCCTGCATTCTCTGGTCACCATCCTCGGGACCTGGGCCCTCATTCAGGCTCAGCCCTGGTGAGCGCGGGGGAGAGGGAGAGGCGGGGAGCCGGGTGGGAAAGGGGAGCGAGCAGCCTGTGTCCCGGCGGGGCCCTGTCAGCCTTTGCCAGGCTCTTGCTGGCTTCTGTTTGCCACTGTGCCTTGTGCCACTGTGTCGGCCCTGCCACCGTGCGCACTCTCGGAGGGAGCTGGGGGTCTTGGCCACAAAGAAACGGCGGGGAGCGTGTTTCCGAGTGGCTGCGTGGCTCCTGTCCGAGCTGGTCCAGTCCTGTGCATCCCCTCCCTACACCTCCCACCCTTCCCTCTCCTCACCCCCCCCCCCTTTCTGTTGCTGAACAGGGAGGGTTTGTGGGCAGACCTGGGGGCGGGGAGGTCCCTGCGCCAGCAAACCGGCCTCCTGCCTCTGCCCCAGCTCCTGTCACGCCCTGGCCCTGGCCTGGACCTTCTCCTATCTCCTGTTCTTCCGAGCCCTCAGCCTGCTGGGCCTGCCCACTCCCACGCCCTTCACCAATGCCGTGCAGCTGCTACTGACGCTTAAGGTCAGACCGGGACTCGCTGCTCCCCTGCGTGCAGCCCCCCCAGCCAGCCCCATGGGGGGGGGTACCTCCCACACCGCCCGCGGGTAGGATTGCACCTGTCCCACAGCCCTGGGCCAGGGTTCACCTCTCCCTCGCTCTCTGGGTAAGGAGCGGCCCAGCCGTAGGTGTCCTTTGGCACCTGTTAGTGCCTGAGGCCTGGCTGGGTGCTCTCTCTCTGAGTCTGGACCAAGCCGTTTTGCAAAGAAGGAAAACCAGCCCTGGAGAGAGGGGACTTGGCCAGGAGCACACGGCTGGCAGGGCCGGGTCTGGCTCTCCGGCGCGTGGGAAGACAGGTAAAAGGCCTTGGCCGTGTGGGAGTCAGGAGCCGGGCGCCCTCCGTGGGAGGCGCTGAGCTCAGAGGAGACTTGGAAGGAGAGCAGTTCAGGGTGGACAGGGCCCGGCGTGTGTCGGAGGCCAGCAGCTGACCCTCGTACCCCGTGCCAGCCCCCGTCGACCTCGTGCGGAGAACACGGGGACAGGCAGCCGGGCGTAGGTGCCTCGGGAAGGGGCCTTGTAGTTTGTCGCCGGGGCGGTGCGGTGACAGTTTTACTGTCCGAACATCTCTGCTGTGGGTGCTGAGGGCAGAATGAAGTGCAGCAGGGCAGGGTGGGGTGAGGTGCTGAGGGCCGAGACGGGCGAGTGTGGGCGCTGGGCAGCCGCTGCCGAGCCTGGGCCCCGGGGGCAGAGAGCAGAGGCCGCCCTGGGGCCTGGACGCAGGAAGCCTTGTCCTGCCCGTCCCCGGAGGCCCGTGCCAAGGCCGACTTGCCAGCTTTCTGGGGAATAAGACTCCCGCCGCTGCAGGGATGCCAGCAGAGCACCTGCGTAGGGAGTGGGCGGAGGGGTGCGCTCCGCCGTGGGTGTGTTCAGGTCGAGGGCTGGGGCTGGGGCAGAGGTCCAGGCTGCAGGCTGAGTGGCCATGGGCCTGCGGACCAGACCTGAAGCTACAGGGTTACCTGGGAGCCAGCAAGGCAGGACGTAGAGAAAGGAGAGAGGAGGGCCCAGGACTGAGCCCCAGGGAGCGAGCGCCCCCCACCCCGCAGCGAGACACGGCTCACGGCTGACCCTGGGGTGGGAGCCTGGCCCCTGCTGCACACTCCCTGCACCCCTCGGCTGCTCGAGGGGGGCTTCTGGGAGATGGGCGGGGCTGGGTCTCGGGCCTGACCGGTTCTGCCCACCCCACGCCCCGCGCCCAGCTGGTGAGCCTGGCGAGTGAGGTCCAGGACCTGCACCTGGCGCAGAGGAAGGAGCTGGCCTCTGGCTTCAGCAAGGCGCCCCCCCTGGGGCTGCTGCCCGACGTCCCGTCCCTCATGGAGACGTTCAGCTACAGCTACTGCTACGTGGGGATCATGACCGGTGAGTGAGCCGCCCCCAGCTGCTGCCCGTCCTGCGCTCGCGGCTGCGCCTGGCCGTCCCGGGATCAGAGCCCGTCCAGGCTGGACATCGGCTGTTCTCTGCCCACATGAGTCTTCGTGGCTGAGTGGGAGCAGACAGGAGAGGACAGAGCTGTGTGACCTCAGGGGGCAGATGCAGCTGTTTGAGACAGAGAGACAGCCCACTCCTATCCACCCGTTCATGCCCCGAATGCCAGCAACAGCCAAGGCTAGACCGGGCAAAGCTGGGAGCCGGGAGCTCCATCCGGGTCTCCCACATGGGTGGCGGGGACCCAAGTACTTGAGCCATCACCTGCTGCCTCCCAGGGGGCTCACGGGCGGAAGCTGGAGCGGGCCTGTTGTGGACATCGCTCATCAATGGAGCAGTGCCCAGATGGTCATCTGTGCACAGAGGCGCTGACCCCTGCTGCTCCTGGGGCCAGGCCACCTTCCTGTCTATCCCATTTCTCACTGTGGCCACTCCTCTGCCACCCATGCCTGCCCAGCTGGCCAGCGGGTGCTGGTGAACGAGGGCAAACCTGGGGCCCACAGGTGCACCCGGAGCAGATCCCACCCTGGTCCTGGGCGCCCGCCCTGCCCCCTCTGGTCTCACTGTGCTTCTGTGCTCGCCGTGTCCCTGGGTCTTGTCTGACTGTCCCCTCACCCTCAGCGTGGTGGTTGTCGCTTTTGAAGACTGAGTCATTTGAAAGTGATAGAGCGCTTCCATCCACTGGTTCACTCCCCAGCAGCCACAGCAGCCAGGGCTGGGCCAGGCTGAAGCCAGGAGCTTCCCCGGGGTCTCCTCTACGGGTGCAGGGGCATTGGGGCCATCTGCTGCTGCTTTCCCAAAGGGGTTAGCGGGAAGTGGAGCAGCCAGGACAAGAACCGGCGCCCTTATGGGATGCTGGTGCTGCGGGTGGAGGCTTAACCGCTCTCAGGTTTTGTCCCTGCCCCTCGTGCATTCGCGGCCTGAGCCCCTTGTCCCCCCCACCCCACCCCGCCCCGCCCCACGCGCGCACCGGCAGGGCCAGCGTCCGACCTCGGCTGACCCGGGCCCGCCCGCCCCCACAGGCCCGTTCTTCCGCTACCGCACCTACCTGGACTGGCTGGAGCAGCCCTTCCCCGGCGCCGTGCCCAGCCTGCGGCCCCTGCTGCGCCGCGCCTGGCCGGCCCCGCTCTTCGGCCTGCTCTTCCTGCTGTCCTCGCACCTCTTCCCGCTGGAGGCCGTGCGCGAGGACGCCTTCTACGCCCGCCCGCTGCCCGCCCGCCTCTTCTACATGATCCCGGTCTTCTTCGCCTTCCGCATGCGCTTCTACGTGGCCTGGATCGCCGCCGAGTGCGGCTGCATTGCCGCCGGCTTCGGGGCCTACCCCGTGGCCGCCAAAGCCCGGGCCGGGGGCGGCCCCACCCTCCAATGCCCACCCCCCAGCAGGTCAGGCGGCGGGAGGGAGGCGTCCCACGACCCGGCAGGCCCCACCGTCAAGGGCTGGCCCTGCCCCTAGCAGGGAGGAGAGCGGGGAGCAGGGGCCACGGCCGCCAGCCGTGGCCG